TTTTTTTTTTTTTTTTTTTGCTTTTTGGCTTTTTTCACACCTGGCGATGCACAAGGGTTACTCCTGGCTCTGCACTCAGGAGTTACTCCTGGCGGTGATCAGGGGACCAGATGGGATGCTGGGAATCGAACCCAGGTCGACCGCGTGCAAGGCAAACACCCTACCCTCTGTGCTATCTCTCCAGCCCCTAATCCCAATTTTTATTTGGTCCTTTTTGTGTATTTTGGGGCTACACCAGGTAGTGCTCAGGGCTGGTTCTGCCTTCAGAAGACCTTATGGCATACCAGAGATCAAACCTGCGTCTGCCATGAGCAAAAAAAAGAAAAAAAAAAGAAGAAGAAGTGAAAGTGATACCATTCAGATACTGGTGTGCTATCATGGTAGCCCTGTCTATTTGATTCATCTAACCCTCTGGGAATGCCTATTCTTTTTTTTTTTTTTTTTTTTTTTTTTTTTATAATTTATTTATTTATTGAATCACTGTGGGAAAAGTTACAGAGCTTTTGGGTTTAGGTCTCAGTCATGTAGATACCGAACACATTTCCCTTTACCAATACTCATTTTTAACCCCGAACCCCAATAGACCCCCACCTCCCACCCCTCCCAATTCTTATGAGGCAGATGAGTTCTAGTTAATACTCTATCTACTTTGACTAGATAGATTATTTCGATAGAAGATGCACAATTATTGTTTAGAGTTTACGACCCCCCCCCCCCAATCAGACATGCTGAAACAGCGTTGTGAAATGATTTGCTTTCTACAACTTGGTTTAAGAATAAAATGATGTCGCGCGGCTGCGATAGCGGCCGCGCGGTTTTGAATTTCTGCTATTTTACTTATTGACCCTGGAAGAATTTCTATTAAAAGTTAGCTAGTTAAGAGATTGATTTCTGTGCCCTGGAGTCGTGGCCGTGCCGGAGAGCCGCTCGTGGGGGGCAGCTGGCGACCTCGGTGGGGCGTGGGGGACGGCCCACAAAGCCCCCCTTCCCATGAGGTCCCTGCCGCTTCCCCGAGCCCGGCTCAAACCCGCTTTCCACAAGGCTCCCGTGCGGCCGCCATCTTTCTTTCCAGAGAGGAGCGGGCGGGCCGGTCATCGCCCTTCCCCCTCTGGGCAGGCTTGGTGGCGCGGATCAACACAAGTCCATTTGCTTTTCTGCTCCAAGCGGCTGGTTCTCTGTGCTAAGTCCTTGTGCCTCCGGGGCCGTGGCCGTGCCGGAGAGCCGCTCGTGGGGGGCAGCTGGCGACCTCGGTGGGGCGTGGGGGACGGCCCACAAAGCCCCCCTTCCCATGAGGTCCCTGCCGCTTCCCCGAGCCCGGCTCAAACCCGCTTTCCACAAGGCTCCCGTGCGGCCGCCATCTTTCTTTCCAGAGAGGAGCGGGCGGGCCGGTCATCGCCCTTCCCCCTCTGGGCAGGCTTGGTGGCGCGGATCAACACAAGTCCATTTGCTTTTCTGCTCCAAGCGGCTGGTTCTCTGTGCTAAGTCCTTGTGCCTCCGGGGCCGTGGCCGTGCCGGAGAGCCGCTCGTGGGGGGCAGCTGGCGACCTCGGTGGGGCGTGGGGGACGGCCCACAAAGCCCCCCTTCCCATGAGGTCCCCGCCGCTTCCCCGAGCCCAGCTCAAACCCGCTTTCCACAAGGCTCCCGTGCGGCCGCCATCTTTCTTTCCAGAGAGGAGCGGGCGGGCCGGTCATCGCCCTTCCCCCTCTGGGCAGGGGAATGCCTATTCTTAAGGGCAATGTCTGGGAGATTCTACACAGGTACTGCTGAGATAATAAACAGGTGCTCTGCTAGATCCCTAAAATGGGAGAGATTATTATCTTAGTTATCACCTCATTATCATCTCAGTTCAGTCTGGGATCTGAACTGCAGGCCATGAGGAATGGCAGAACAGAAGGCAAGGGACACCAGAAGATGGCTGGTGAGGGGCACTGTGGTGTCCTAGCAGAGAGCAAGCCTATGACCTTCTGTTTATGGATTCTCAACAAAGGGACACGTGTTCAGCACCAGCTTGCTTCAGGTATGTTCCCTTGGCAGCAGACTCTGAGGGGGGAATTAGCATGAGCTGCTGGAGATGCTCTAAGTTCCAGACCTGTGGAAATAGGGAAGGAAGGAGCCTTGATCAGAGGGAACTTTTAAAAAAATTTTTTTATTTTTAATTTTTTTTCTTTTTGGGTCTCACCTGGCGATGCTCAGGGGTTACTCCTGGCTCTGCACTCAGGAATTACTCCTGGCGGTGCTTGGGGGACCATATGGGATGCTTGGAATCGAACCTGGGTCAGCTGCGTGTAAGGCAAATGCCCTAACCACTGTGCTATCGCTCCAGCCCCTACTTATTTATTAATGAATCACCATGAGGTACAATTACAGACTTACAAACTTTCGTGCTTACATTTCAGTCATACAACAATCGAGCACCCATCCCTCCATCTGTGCTCCTTTACCACCACCAATATTCCCAGTATCTCGCCTCTGTGTCAGGCACATTCCCTTTTGCTTTCTCTCCTTTCAGGTGTTGTGGTTTGCAATACAGTATTAAATGGCCATCATGTTCAGGCTGTAGTTTATTTTCAGCACACATCTCCCATCCCAAGCGGGCCCTCCAAGCATCCTTTACTTGGTGGTCCCTTCTGTGTCTGAGCTGCCTATTCCCCCAGCTTGTGAGGTCAGCTTCCAAGCCGTGGAACAATCCTTCTCATCCTTATCTCTACTATCCTTGGGTGTTAGTCTCCCATTCTGTTACTTTATATTCCACTAATGAGTGCAGTCCTTCTGTGTCTGTCAGAGGGGGCGTTTTTGCCAAAATAAAGTTCTCAGAAGACCCACATAGGGTTCTGAAACTATTAGTGTTTTGTGTTATCTTGAATTGGGGCAGGGGACTAAGCCATTATACATCTGCTTTTGCTTGTCATTGGATGCTTTCTGTTCCCAGAGAGGGAGGTGTGACCACGAGTAGGAAACTCTTTTAGTGGGTAAGAGAAACATGGAAACCTCAACTATGATCATGGGCCATTTCTTCTGTTTAGTCTGGCATCTTCTAGATGGCACAAAATGTGATTGAGCCAGTGGATTACAGGTCAGGTGCCACTGTTAAACCTCCTCTGTGGTACAATGAGTCTTTTGCTATGTATTATGTCCTGAGGGAAAGGCACCCTAGAGATGGAGAGGCAGTGTTCTGAGAACAGTTTTGATCATACACAGAAAAAGGATCATGCAGAAATGCTGATTTTAAGCAAGGGAAGTTGAAAAGTTCTAACTCTTCCCTCACCCACATTCTGTGATTCTACCATTTCTGGAGAAAAGTCTGGTGTTAATGACCCTTTTCTCCTTACCAGCTCTCAGGGGGGAACCACCATCAAAACCAGCTATCAGAGGGTGTAAACAGAATGGATTAAAGAAAAAAATGTTTTGCCCTTACCTATCACATCTTTATTTGTTGACTCACCATGAAATACAGTTACAAAGTTGTTCACGATTGGATTGAATTAAAATTTTGGCTTGCAGTGAAGCATAGCTTTTCACTCTCCCTTTGGGGAAACATTTTTTTATTTGAAATTATCTAAAAGTGGATGAATAGATGCAATGAGTCAGTTTTCTATTGTGTTTGGGGCCACACCCAGTGGTACTCAGGGATCACTCCTGGCATGCTGTTTTCCTTGTGCAAGGCAAGTGCCTTCCCCACTGTACAGAGAGTCAATTTTCTGAACGCACTGAGATATGCTTGCAGCATTTTGGGGTTGGTCAGTAAAGCACGTGTTGTGTGTGTGTGTGTGTGTGGGGGGGATACCTAGTGTCCCTCAAGGAGCTTCATTACAAGGGGTGGGCATGAAGCGGTAACTGAGCGCCCAAGGGCGTCCCTGGTGGTACAAGGCAGCGTTTTAGGAAATGCCTTTCTTTCCCGTCAACGCAGTCACCTTCGAGTCAAACAAAGGTGGAGGGAAGTGAAGTTCCTCCCCCATTTGGGGAACTGGCCATCCCGCACCCCTATTCTGCAGCCCTTTCTACCAAAGCGCCACTGCAGTTCTCCGTTGCTCTGCCCACATTGCTCCGGGGACAGGGTCCTGGACTCTGACATCAACCGGTCCACTCTTGTCTTGGGGTGCTCGGGGAGGGCAGCCCCAGGGTTCACTACGGGCACTACCCCCCCCCCCCAAAGCTGGGACACCCCTCCGGAGCTCCGCGGTCTCCAATTCGAGAATGAAGCGACCACCCCCCTTACCCCCCCGCGCCCGCCGCCTCTCAGGATGCACCGAGCACCGCGCCGGGTTCTAACAGGCCCCTGGCCGCGCCCCCTCGGCGGGGGCGGGGTCGGGAAGATGGCGGCGGTGCGGGCGGCGGAGGGTCCGACGGTCACTCTCCGAGGCGCCCTTGACTAGCCAGCTCGCCGCCGCGCCACCTATCTTGCTAGCGCTAGGGTTCCGGCGCGCGGCGCCAGGGGGCGGGAAGAGGCGCTTGACGAGCACTTGGCAGCGCCAATCACCGCCGAGAGAGCGGAGGGCGTCCAATCAGGACCCAGGCGGCGGAGACGAGGGTACGTAGTGGGGCGGCCGCGCATGTGGCAAGACACGGAACGGCTGGGACTTTGCCGTGCTCCTGGGGTCTTCGGCGCCGGCCTCGCTTTCCCGCGCGCGCTTGCACCGCGGCTCTGGCCGCCGACTTGAGGACGCCCGGAAGGCAGGGCTGACCGACAGGGCTTGACCGGCCGCCGGCCTTCCCCGGTTCGTGGCCGGAGCCGTGGAGGTGCCTGTGGTGCAACGGTTGCGGGGCCACCCCCGTTGCGGACTCTTCCCCCCGGAGGGGACTCTGAGTGGCTTGCTGCAGAGAGATGAAGAAGGGCCTGTTGGGCCGTGAGCTGAGCTCCGCGCCGGCCCTTTAGGGAGACTCGGCGGAGGGCAGCGATCTCCGGGAGGCCGCGCTCGCTTGCAGGCGCGCGGCGGGTCTGTGCGTGTGCGTGAGAGTGTGCGTGTGCGCGCGCGTGTGTGCGTGCGTGTGTGTGTTGGGGGCGCTCGCGGCTCGGCATGTTTCCGCGGAGGCCGCCGGCCGCGCTGGCCGCCTGGCTGGGGGGCGCGGGGGCGCGGGGCGGGGGCCTGCTGGGCCTGCTGGCCAATCAGTGCAGCTTCGTCACGGGCCTGCGCGTGCGGCGCGCGCAGCAGATCGCGCAGCTCTACGGGCGCCTGTACTCGGAGAGCGCGCGCCGCGTCCTCCTCGGCCGCCTGTGGCGTCGGCTCCGGGGCCGCCCGGGCCATGCCACTGCCCTGATGTCGGCCCTCGCCGGAGTCTTCGTGTGGGACGAGGAGAGGATCCAGGAGGAGGAGCTGCAGAGGTGGGCGCGGGGGTTGCGGGGCTCGCGTGGGCGGGCACTCGTGGGGCTCGTTCTTGCGCCGCGCGCCGGCTCCGCTCTGCGCTCCCCACGGGGGTGGGGGGGCTTGGCAGGTGGCGATGCTGTCGCTGTTGGAGCCAGGACCTGTTCCCTTTCGCCTCTCCGTTCACTGCAGGAGTGGGATTAGGAATGACCAGGTGTCGCAGGACGTCTTTGAATCGGGACGTTCCAGCTGAGGGCCAAAGGAGGCGTAACCTTTTTTATGCTTTTTGGGTCACACCCGGCGATGCACAGGGGTTACTCCCGGCTCATGCACTCAGGAATTCCTCCTGGTGGTGCTCGGGGGACCATATGGGATGCTAGCGATCGAACCTGGGTCGGCCGCGTGCAAGGCAAACGCCCTACCAGCTGTGCTATCGCTCCAGCCCCGCGAGGTGTAACCTTTAAAAAACAAACTTGTCCAGAAAGGTGCACCTGCGAACCAGCCTTTTCGGACGTGGGCTCGGTGCATAGTTATGCGGCTCCTCGGCCCCCGTGATTCCGTGTGCAATTCGGTGAGAAATGTCCGGCGAGCTCCTTGATCGTTTGTGGCCGATTTAGGGGAGGCTAGACGGGCCTTAGCCCTCGGGGATAACCCAGCCTAAGAATTAGGTCATTGTTGTTGTCCTAATACAGAGCTTAAGGAGAGCTGTGCGGGCGACCCCTTCCTCAGCTGCGAATGTCACGGGCCTCGTGGGAAATTGTAGAGTTGTGCCTTGGGTTGACGATCTCTGCTTCTAAGTCTGAGACCCCTTAGTTTTCCTGGAAGCTTGGGATAGGGAGGGTGACACCGTCCCTGGCACCTGTCCCAAAGCCTTGCTTTCAATGTTGTTACATTGTTTCTCTTTCTTTTTTGGTGGTGATGGGCACTGCCTGTGAGCCTTAGGGGCTGCTCCGAGCTGGTTTATGAGGTCGCGAGCTCCCAGGGAGCAAGATCAGAGCCCCTGCAAAGCATGCAGAGCGCCTTGAGGTACCCTTCTTGTCCGGTATTTTCCGTTTTGGGGTTTTTTTTTTTTTTTGGTTATTTTCTTTTTATAACGGTGTGAATCTGTTTCCTTTTCCCCCCCACACTCCACCCTCTAAAACTGTGAAACTGACTTGAGGGATTTAGCACAATCCTCTCTCCGGATAAATCCCACACAAGTCTATTTATTCTAGACGGTGCTTCTGGTAGTCCACATTCTGGGCTAAGTTAAAAATGGAAATAAGCTTAATAAAGTTAGCACTCTGCTCCTTGGCGGTGGAATAGCCAAGATGCCAGACAGCTATTTGTGCAACACCATGTGGGAAAATACAAGTCTATTTTTAGAACTTGCGTTTCTTTTCCTAGCAGGATGGATGGCTTTGGGGGGGGGGGCAGTGTTCAGGGGTCACTCCTGGCAAGGTTCAAGAGAGCTGTATGTGCTACCTGGGGTGGAACTTGGGTTGGTTGCATGCAAGGCAACCCTTACCCACGGTATTACCCGTCTAGCCTCTGGATGACTATTTTGAAAATAATAATTTTCAGATCATTTTAAATCATAATCACAAAAAGCTTTATTCACAAAAGATGTAAACTTTTTAAGCCTGGTAGGGAGTTTGCCAATTTTCTGCTAGTATTTTTTTTATTGCTTACCTGTTTAATGAAGTAAAGGTGTGAGAAATTTTTGTTTAGCAACATTCTGACTTCTCCATAGTAAATCTTAAGTCAGTGACAGGGAGAGTTCTTAGGTTTGTTCATGGGGTTCAGTTGCCTAGATATGTTCAATGACCAGAGATCTATTTCTAACCCCTTTTGTTTAGCTAGGTTTTTTAGGCATGTACCATACAGATTCACTCTCTGGGCCACCAGTGCCACAGTTTGGATGGGCACACCTACCAACGCAATGATAAGGGCCATCCAGATATCCAGATGGCATACATTGCTCCTGAAGTGTGACAGCCTTCAACACTTGATGACGTGGCCTTTTTTCCTTGTTTTGGATCAACACCCAGTAGTGCTCAGGGATTACGCCTGGCTCTCAGTTCAGGAGTTGCTTTTGGCAATGCTTGTGGGGCAATAATGGGGTGCTGGGGATCGAACCCAGGTGAGCTGCATGCCAAGGCAAATGCCCTACCTGCTGTACTATCACTCTGGGCCCAGGTGATGTGACCTTGATGGGCAATTTTGATTGTTTTCACAATGAGCATGAAGATTTCACAATGAGCATGAAGATTTGAACCTTTTGGTTTTCATTATTTGGTAGGGTTTTCGGAGTCAAATGAACAGAAGAGTATTTTGTGATCACCTAAGTTTGCTGTGGGAAGAACTTATTTCATGTATTTTTATTGTGGATATGTCCTGGAATTTGTGTTCATTCAGTCTCCCACTTATGGGAACTCCATAGGGGAGAAGATAGGAAATGGATGAGGTAAACATTTGTTTGAGTCAGTCACTATGGCAGAAAGAGTTCAGCCAAGAGATGGACAGGCCCACTGTTTCTATTTTCCTTTCTTTTCAGACTCTGAAACTTAGGGAGCAGTTGAAACACTTTTGGTTCTAATCTAGTAAATAAACAGTTACAAGCCTTGTATTAAACAATCTTGAAACTTCAAGAAATTAGGTGAAAGCCACTTCACTATGGGAATTTTATATAGCATGATCCTTCATTTAACAACACTTTAATGAGTTCATGGTTGAATTGACTCAGACACTTAAATTTTCATTAAATATGGGCTGGAATGATAGTAGAGCAGATAGGGTGTTTGCCTTGCACGTGGCCAACCGTAGTTTGATCCTTGGCATCCCATATAGTCCCCTGAACACCACCAGGAGTAGTAACCCCTGAACATTGCTGTGGCCCCAAAACAAAACAACAAAAATTCATCAAGTTGTTTGTCTTGAGATTTGTTACTTTGATATGCAAATAAAATAATATCCAACTATATATTGGTTTGAGTTATGTATATATATGTGTGTGTGCGTATATATATTCTTTTTGTGTCACACCTGGCGATGTACCAGGGTTACTCCTGGCTCTGCACTCAGGAATTACTCTTGGTGGTGCTCAGGGGAACATATGGGATGCTGGGAATTGAACCTGGGTTGGCCCTGTGCAAGGCGAACACCCTACCCGCTATACTATCACTCCAACCCCGCCACCACCACATTTAAAATGTTTCCATCTGGAACCCCAAACCCTGCCCCCAAAGCAGAAGTAATTTATTTTGTATTGCTTGTTACAAATAATCCACTAAAAATGATGTAAAAAATTTTCTTACAGGAAAGTGTGTGAAGATTTTGTATTTCACCCATGAGCCATTAAACCCTTCTATAAGAGATTACTAACATGTTGTTAAAACTTGAGCCTTGTGTACTTATTTATATATGTGTGTTTATAAATTTGCCCGTAATATTGGTTGCCTTCTGCTTTAAGCCCCATCAGATGTGGTGTGCTACTCTTGGTATAACAGTGGTGTAAAGCATGAGATGTCTCGAGGCCGCAAATGGAGTAAATTCACTTGTGGGTGAGGCCTTTCCAAGTGTGTGGAGAGCGGCCGTGAGCATGGCAGTGATTGAGTTCTGGAGGTTTTCAGCTGCCAGGGCTGACGCTGTTGGGGTAGGGAGAGGAACTCACCAGCCCCGTTTGAGTTGGCCCCAAAAGACACAGCCTGGTATGTGATCTAGAGGCATCTCTATGGCATATCGTTCTGTGCTCTCTTCTGAGAGATTTATTGTTGAGTCTCTGGATCGTGGCTGTTAATGAGATTATATGGCACCAGGGTCAGTTTGCGGACGTGACTGCCAAGTTGCCAGAAGCAGAGGGACGTGGGGGGAGGTCACCCATTTCCAGCTCCGTTGAGCCTGGGGCAAACTAATTTTATACTACTGTTTTTATTCATTGGTATTGGATATAGGGGTATGTAGGATATTACTTTGAATGTGTTTTAAAGCTTATGTTTGTTTTTTTAAATGAGTTTCTACTTACGAGTTTCTGTACAACAGAAAAAAGAATAATTTAGCTTCTCTTTTTGCTGAGGAACATGTTAAGAGGAACTGAGGAACTGGAGCAGTAGTATAGCGGGGAGGGCATTTGCCTTGCATGAGGCCAACCTGGGAATCCCCGGCATCCAGTATGGTCCCCTGAACACCACTAAGAGTAATTCCTGAGTGCAGAACCAGGAGTAAGTCCTGAGCGTCGCCAGGTGTGACCCAAAAAACTAAAGCAAAAAATAAGGAACTCATAAGCCTAGCAATAGCAAACTAATTTGAGAACAGAAGTACTTTGCATAAACTGACTTCATTGATGGGACCTATTCTGGGAATAAAAATGTCTTTTAAATCTTGAATCAATATGGGGCTAGACAGATAAAATAGGTTAAGGCACTTACCTTGCATAGACTGGCCCCAGTTCTATCTCTAGCACCAGAAATGGTCCCCTGCGCACCACATACTGTCCCTGCTCACAGAGGCAGGAGAGAAACCTTTGCACTCCCCCCCACCCCCCGATCTTGTGCTGGTATTCTCACTCAGTTGGCTTCTATTAAACATTAAGTAGAGCTAGAGAGATAGTACAGTAGGTAAGGTGTTTGTTAGCCCACCAAGAGTGATCCCTGAGCACAGATCCAGGAGTAACTGCCAGAACATGGCTCAAAAACAAACAAAAAATAAGCTTATTAAACTGTGAAACAAAATAACTTGCAGTCACCATTTTTAGTACAAGCTGGTATTCATGTGTTTTACAGAAAAACACAATAGTACTTTTATTGTTTTGGAACATTAAAATCTACCAGAACAAAAAGAGGAAGGAAGTTAAGAAATGTGAACAGCTAAGGGGGAAATATTATATTAACTCCCTTTTTTTTGTGCCACTCCCAACTGTATTTGGGGCTTATTCTTAGCTCTCTGTTGAGGGACCATTCTTGGCAGGGTTCGGAGGATCATCTTGGGTACCAGGGAATGAACCTGGTTGGCCATGTGTGAGGCACTTGCTCTAAGAATTTGATTGTCAGCAAAGTTCTTAAAGAAAATGGACTGTTTTCCCATTTACAGGGCATTTAGAATAATTTGAACATTGTGGTATGCTAGATAAATGAGCAAATAAAAAAAAGTCTTTAACTTGGCCTTTTTTTGGTGACAACACTTTAGGATATTTTACTGATACTGATCATCAGTGTTACATTAAGCTAACCTAAATTTTGGGGACTTGTTTTCATTATTTCACTATTAAGCAGTTAGCAAAGAGTTAGCTAATATCCTTTTGCTATTAGTTTTTTTTTCCCTAGTAACATTTGTTTTGAATAGTCCATGTGTGTATCTGTGTGTCCGTCCCCACTGAAAAAAATTGAGACCTGGGGCGGGAGTGATAGTACAGCGGGAAGGGCATTTGCCTTGCACGCGGCCGACCCGGGTTCCATTCCCAGCATCCCATATGGTCCCCCGAGCACCGCTAGGAGTAATTCCTGAGTGCAGAGCCAGGAGTTACCCCCAAGCACTGTGGAGTGTGACACCCCCCCCCAAAATTGAGATCTGAGGTGAGGGGATCATGTGATCTGGGTCTTAACTGAAATTTCTGGTTTCAGTGATGGCTTTATTTGGATCATTCTGGACCTTTTAGTAAGCTCTAGTGGGGGCAGGATTCTCTTAGATAAACTCGACACGGTTGTGCTTGTTTTATTTTCGTACCTTCAGTTTTTATGTCTCTCTGCCTTTCTCAAATAATTAAAATGACTTTAGTTTTGGGAAAAGGAAAGCATTGATTAACTTTCTTGATCTTTTTAATAATCTGATTCTGCTATTTTGGGAATAATCTTTTTGTCCTCTCTGTTTTAAGTCCTTTTGAATAACAAGGTTTAGATGCCCATTTGACACCAAATCTGAGCAGATTTGACATATGCATTTCAGAGTTACATGATTCAGAGGTTTTCCTTCCTTCACATGCCTACCATGTCAGACTTTAGAAATTGAGACCCTTCAAGAGTCTTGTCTAGGTATTTTGTCTTTCAGTGATTTTTTACTTTTCATTAAGGCACTGTGATTTACAAAGTTATTCATAGTTGAATTTCAGGCAGGCACTCTGCCTGTTCCAACCACACTCTTACCCATTACCATTACCAGGGTTACCTTCCCTTCACCATAGTTTACAAACTATTCCTCAACAAAACACAAATAAAGTGCGACATTAATGGGCCTTGAAAATAATGCAAAATGAGGGGCCAGAGTGATAGAGCAGTAGGTAAGTTACTTCTCTTGCACACTGCTGACCTGGGCTTGATTTCCAGCATCACATGGTTCTTTGAGCAGCATTGCCAAGAGTGATCCTTGAACGCAGACATGGGTAGGCCCCGAGTACTGTCTGATATGCACCCTGCCCCCAAAAATAAATAAATAAGATTTGGGTCATGTATATATATGAAGCGCCCAGAACAGGCAGGTCATACTTGTGTACCCTCGCTCTGGCCACAAGTATAATCTTTTTGACTTTAGTGAAAAAGTACTGAATTGTATTCTGTGAGGGGGTATGGAGGTATGTGAATTGTATTTGTTTTTTAAAAGAAGGAAAGCATATACATACTTTTACAATGTTATTAGAGAGACAAACAACTCAATAAAAAATGGTCAGAGGGTATCAGTGGCATTTTAGAGTCATAAATGTAATCGTTAACTTCTGAGGGCTATTTATATGCCAGGTATTAAGCACATAAAATTTAGTTTTTATAATCAAGTACTATAGTATCACTTGAGTCGTAACTATTATTACCCATTTTATGGGTTCATAAATTGGGTCTGGTCTAAGTAATTTAGTATTCTAGTAAATGTTAGACTGGAATTCAAACACAAGAACTCAGATTTTTATTACATTTGATCTTTTTATAAACACATGTCATTATTTTGTTCTTTTTTTTTTTTTGCCTTTTGGGTCACACCCAGCGATGTTCAGGGGTCACTCCTGGCTGTGCACTCAGGAACCACTCCTGGTGGTGCTGAGGGGACCGTATGGGACACCAGGGATCGAACCCGGGTCGGCCGCATGCAAGGCAAATGCCCTACCCGCTGTGCTATCTCTCCGGCCCCCCTGTTCTTTATTTTTCTTCTTTGTTTTGGGGCCAAATCCGGCCATGCTCAGAGCTTGCTCCTGGCTCTGTGCTCAGGGATCACTCTTGGTGGTGTTCAAGGGACCGTCTGGGATGCTGGGGATTGAAACTGTATTGGGTGCGTGCAAGGCAAAAGTTCTACCCGTTCATTGTACTATGGCTCTGACTCTTGTTTTTTTATTTAAATGAGGATTTTTGTTTATTTCCCATTCCATTTGTTGTTAAGATGACTCCGAGTCTGACACGCTTGGTTATGCACCAGGGAGCTCACCAACAGCCCCAGGATAGTACTTGGTGGGGTGGGGAGTGCCATGGATCAAGCTGAATGTAACCTCGTGCCTGCAGGATAGGCCTTAGTTCACTATGAAGAACTTGGTCCTACCACTAAGTCATACCAAGGTCTACACATGCACTGTTCTCATGAAAGTTTGTGTGTGAGCGCTTCATTTTGTAGGATTGACTCCGGCACACGTGCCTGTTGCTCTCTTTCCAGGTCCATTGATGAGATGAAACGGTTGGAGGAAATGTCATATGTGTTTGAGAGCCCTGGAGTTGGACGCCACCCTCCAGAACCAAAATCTCAAACGGAAGGAAATGAAGACTCGGGGGCCAAAGAACAGCCATGGGAAATGGTGATGGAAAAGAAACACTTCAAGCTGTGGCGGCGCCCAATTACAGGCTCCCATCTTTACCAGTACAGAGGTGAGCCAGCCTGAGTGCTGGTCATTGGCGCCAGGGTTCGCCCGCTGTGCAGGACTGCTGTTGCTTGTCTGAAGTGTTCTGTTGATTGTTAGAACCATTCAGAATGATTGTTAATTTCCATTTTTCTCTCTCCTATGACATGGGGCTCACTGTCTTCTTGGCTCTCCTGGGTTCTTTTACTTTCCTGTTCCAGTGGGATTTCTAGTTTTTGAATCTACCACTAAAATCTTGCCTAATATTCTACAAATGAAATGCAGCTTAGTCCTAAGGATAAGGTGGATCATTAGCGAGACAAAAGTCCCCTTTCCGGGTAGGGGAGATTGCTTGGAGGACTGGAGTGCAAGCTTTTATTGTGGAAACCCTGTGTTCAGCCCATGGCATCACATGTTCTCCCAGGTGCTGTTGGATATGGCAGAAAATCACCCCCCCACATACCTTTCTCTTTCTTGTCTTTCTAGTATTTGGAACCTACACAGATGTGACACCCCGGCAGTTCTTCAATGTTCAGGTAAGGCTACTTTTTCTTCCTAAATTTGGACCCTCTAAGCCTAGGAATCCTTTCATCATCACCCAGAACTAATTCCTCTGACTCAGATACATCATCCAGTGTCAGATAGCAACTGGCAAACATTTGACCTATAATTATTTTTTCAGTAGAAATAGGTTGCCGCCCTTTCATAGGCTCTTAGGGAGATCCGATCGAGAAATAGATTTGAATACTTTGGTATACTTTATAAGGCTTTATATTTCGGTTTATCGTTCATTTTTGGTGATGCTAGGGATTGAGCATAGACCTCTCACACAGGTAAGGCAAGCACTCTACCATTGAGTTACATCTCTGGACCCTTGCTTTTTAGTTTTTCCTAAACATCTTGGAAGTTGTGTACATCATGGCCTTTTATTCTTAAACCCTTCAGTGTGTATTTCCTAAAACTAGACCTATTCTTGGGGCTGGAGTTAGATAGCACAGCGGGTAGGGCGTTTGCCTTGCATGCGGCCGACCCGGGTTCGATTCCCAGCATCCCATATGGTTCCCTGAGCACCGCCAGGAGTAATTCCTGAGTGCAGAGCCAGGAAGTAACCCCTGTGCCTTGCCGGGTGTGACCCAAAAAACAAAAAAACAACTAGACCTATTCTTGTTTTGATTTGTTTTGGGGCCATAGCCAGCAGTAATCAGGGCTAACTCCTGGTTTTGAGCTCAGGGATCACCCCTGGCTTTCTTGAAAGACCAGATGGGGTGCCAGGGATCAAAGCTGGGTCATCTGTATGCAAAACAAGTGCCCTTCCCACTAGGCTCCAGGGCCTATTGTTTTACCCGATGACGCACCACCGCAGAAAATTTAGCAGTGAGGTGGTGCTCATGTTTGTATTCCAGTTTTCTTTGTTGGTGTAGCAGTGTCCTTGATAGCATTGAAGCATCTATACTTTCTCAGTACAGGTACTTAATGAATAAAAGTAAAGAGTATCTGTTCAAAGACTTGTTTTCTTTTTGTGAGGGGGGAGAGTGCCAAGGTTCAAACTCAGGGCTTCAAGCATACAGTATGCACTCTGTAGTGTGCTGCATTCGTGACCTCTCTCAACTCTTCATGGTGTTCTCTTTCTGCAGCTGGATACAGAATATAGAAAAAAGTGGGATGCGCTGGTCATCAAGCTGGAAGTGATTGAGAGGGACGTGATTAGTGGTTCTGAGGTTCTTCACTGGGTAACTCACTTCCCTGTGAGTATTTTCACTTCTGGTTTCACTGTTACGATGATCACCTGAGCATAATACTAATCCTGCCCCTCTGTTTCTTTAGTATCCTATGTACTCACGGGATTATGTTTATGTTCGGCGGTATAGTGTGGATCAGGAAAACAACGTGATGGTGTTGGTGTCGCGGTATGTCTGTTGTTTCCCTGTGGGTCCTGCTGAGTGCTTTCAGTTTTTCTTGTTTTTTTGGGGGGTATGGGGTGGGGTGGGATTTGGGCCACATTCGGCAGTGCTCAGGGCTTATTTCTGGCTTTGTACTTTGGGATCATTTCTACTGGTGCCGGGGATTGAATCTAGGTCATGGAAAGCCAGCGCCTTCCCCACTGTCCGATGACTGTGTCCTTCATCGATGTTTGTGTTGGAAGTTCACATAGGACTAAGAACCCAGGCATCCCACTTAGAATATGTGTGGGCTGGAACTGGTGGTGTCTAAAAAGGTGGAAGGGGGCGTTGCCTTTTTGTTTAACCTTTTCTTCGGTTCCTTAATGTTGGTAGTTTTTTGTTGTTGTTTGGGTGACACTGAGCAGGGTCAGACTTACTACTAGCTCTGGCTCTGGGGACCATCTGGTATGTTGGGGTCAAACCCAAGTTGGCTGTATACAAGGCAAATGCTTTACCCACTGTACTGTCACTGTCACTCTAGCTCCTAATTTGGTAATTTTAAAAGAATTGCTTTTTTGTTGTTGTTTTTTGGGGGGTGTGGTGGGAGGGTCACAATTGGCTGTACTCAGGGCTTTCTCCTGGCTCTGCAATCGGGTCAGTTTGGCATACTCAGGGGAACATATGTAACGTTGAACCTGGGTTGGCTGTGTGCAAGGCAAGCATCGTTTTTGAAAAATAAAATAAAATTTATTTCGTCTTTTTGGTCACACCTAGCAATGCTCAGGGGTTTCTCCTGACTTGCACCAAGGAATTACTCCTGGTGAGACCTATGGGATACCAGGAATCGAACCCGGGTCGGCTGTGTGCAAGACAAACGCTCTTACCCACTGTACTGTTTCTCTGGCCTCAACAAGGCAAGCATCTTAAACCAGCTGTATTATCTCTCTGGCCCCAAGAAGCGCTTTCTTCAGTACAAAATGAGCCACGACTCACCAGCGGAGCTCAAACCTATTTTGTTTTTTTTAACTTTCTTTGTATTTATTAATCTTGGTGACGCTGCTATTTTAGAAATTAGGGACCAACTTTTACGTTTTCCTCCTAATGCTGATTTCTTTTTTAAATGATGACTTGTATGTAGATATTATTAAGAGTTTTCTTAATTTTCCTCTTTCCCAGTGCGGTGGAGCATCCTAGTGTGCCAGAGTCTCCAGAATTTGTGCGGGTCAGGTCATATGAATCCCAGATGGTTATCCGTCCTCACAAGTCATTTGATGAGGTGAGTTTTACAGGACCTAAGAGGTGATACCTACGATTTTGGAATTGTCTCAAGGAATATCTTTGAGCTAGGGAGTTACAGGACAACTTTTCTGAAAGTTGGTATTTTTCAGACTCCATTAGAGCTCGTTAAAAGAGCTGAGATATGGTCTGCAAGTTGGCATTTTGGGGAAGTTGCCAAGTGAATCTAATGCTAATGTCCTGGGAACCAGGCTTTGGGAACCCTTCTTGGAAGGAGGCACACTCGGTGGTGCTTAGGGCTCTGCACTCAGGAATCATTCCTGGCAGTGCTCGGGGAACCATGTGGGGTGTCAGGGATTGAATCCAGGTTGACCGCATGCAAGGCAAACGCCCTACCCACTGTACTATACCTTCGGCGCCAACTTCTGTACTGTATTCAAAGAAGTATTTTTCAAACCACGAATTGCTGTCCATAACTGAATGATATAATTAATGTAATTCATGATGACTAGCTTTTGCAGGGTGGTCCACACTGCCTCAGTACTTGGAAGCCCTGCGGGCGGACCATGTGGTGCTGGGCATTGTCAGTCATGTGTAAGGCATGTGCCTTACCCCTGTACTATCTCTGGCCCCATGGCTGACAGTTTTTTGGGGGCGGTGGCACACCTGTCGATGTTCAAGGGTCACTCCCAACTCTGCACTTAAGAATCATTTTTTTTTTTTTTTTATAATTTATTTATTTATTGAATCACTGTGGGAAAAGTTACAGAGCTTTCGGGTTTAGGTCTCAGTCATGTAGATACCAAACACATTTCCCTTTACCAATACTCATTTTTAACCCCGAACCCCAATAGACCCCTACCTCCCACCCCTTCCAATTCTTTGTGAGGCAGATGAGTTCTAGTTAATATTCTATCTACTTTGACTAGATAGATTATTTCGATAGAAGATGCACAATTATTGTTTAGAGTTTACGACCCACCCCCCCCCCAATCAGACATGCTGAAACAGCGTTGTGAAATGAAGAATCATTTTTGGCCCTGCTCCAGGGATCCTATGGAATGTCAGGGATTGGGCCCGCTGTACTATCTTTCTGACCCCTGATGTTTTTTCCTTTCCTTTTTTTTTAAAGATAGAATGAAAATTGAATTGCAGATATGTTTCGTGAGACTTGTTCGGTCACATAAATATGTATGGATGTATATGAGAAAGGACAAAAGGATCATTTGTGGTGTGTTGTAAACAGTTTGCCAACGCTTGCTTTAGGCATAGCAAAGGAGGATGACTGCAGCTGCTGCTTGCTGACCCCTTAGCCTGAGGAAGATGGGGGCTGTGATAAGGGAAGGAGTGTGGTGGCCAGCTTAGGCCTTACTTTCTTCACTTGTATTACTTTTGAAATTTGAACCATGTCTATGTATTGCCCATCTAGAAAAAAAGAAAAAGGTGTTTTTTTGTTTTTTTGTTTTTTTTGTTTTTGCTTTTGCTCTTTGGGTCACACCCAGCAATGCTCAGGGATTAGTTCTGGCTCTGCACTCAGGAATTACTCCTGGCGGTGCTTGGGGGACCATATAGGATGCTGGGGACTGAACCCGGGTCGACCGGGTGCAAGGCAAACGCCCTACCTGTTGTACCATCGCTCTGGCCCCAAGATGTGCTTTTTGAAACTATGATTGTGAAACAATTGAGGTATAATTGGGCTGGCACCTCCAAGGGTCTTGCATCTGGCAGCACTCAGCGAATTTCTTTCAGCTAAGGTGCAGAATAATAGAAATGATCTGCATGAACCTTTCCACCTTTTTTAAGGCTTATGAGTCAAGAGCATTCATTATTTTGGTGTGAGGAATTGAACCTAGGGCCTCACCTATGCAAAAAAGGTACTCTAATGCTGAGCTGCATCCCCATCTGATAGAATTAATTCCTCTCATATATTTGGGCTGGAGTGACATAGCACAGTGGGTAGGGCGTTTGCCTTGCATGCGGCCGGGTCGGCTGGCCCGAGTTTAATTCCTCTGCCTTCGATTCCTCCGCCCCTCTTGGAGAGCCCAGCAAGCTATCGAGAGTATCTGGTTTGCACTGCAAAGCCTGACAAGCTCCCCGTGACGTATTCGATATGCCAAAACACAGTAACAAGTCTCACAATGTTACTGGGCCCGCTCAAGCAAATCGATGAACAACGGGAAGACAGTGACAGTGACATATGTTTGTGACATGTTGTAAATAAAAAGGTTGGACTTGGGTTGGTTCTCGTGGGTAGAGGAAAACAGGAAGTTGGTCCATGATGAGCATGTGTTCAGAGGTACATTAGATTAGGGAGGGAGGAGTGATACGTTTCACTGACCCTGCGCAGAGGAGATTTGAAAACCAAGCAGCTGAGTTTGGATTGGTCCAGTGGAAAGTAGCTCCTTCAGCTAAATATGATGTTTTGTTTTACTTTTTTTTTCTTCCCCCTTTTGGGTCACACCCGGTGATACTCAGGGGTTACTCCTGGCTCTGTGCTCAGAAATCACTCCTGGCAGTGTTCAGGGGACCATAGAGGTCCCTCAGGGATTGAACCCAGTTTGGCTGCATACAGGACAAATTCCCTGCCCTCTGTACTATTGCTACGGCCCCTTATTTTACTTTTTAATTTTGTTTTTAATTACTGAAATTTGAAATGTATTTAAAAAATGCATTTGGGGGATAGTATAATGAATAGTATATCTCTATCCCTAGCTCCAGTGATAATAAACTCATGGCCAGAGTTGTTTTTCTCTACCCTTTCCTATCCCTGCCCCCCCCCCCCCGCCCCCATTCTTTGGAAGCAAATTAGAACACTTCTGAGTTGCTTGTAATTGCTGTAGCAGTTTGACCAAGAGACCTTGTCACTGGAGAGATACGAGGGAGGGCCAGTTTTATTTATGTTTGGGAACTCAACCTGGCTACCACCAAGAAAGGCCAAGCCCTGAATGCAGTTCACAAAGAGCTTTTATAGGCCAGACATGTTTCTAGGAGAAATGTGTTTATTCAGTGGTTGCTAACATGCACGATAATTGGTACAATCAGTGATTAATAGTTTGCTTTGAACTCCATACATTTACTATACATTTATTAATGTGATCCCAGCCTTACTCTCTTGCTCTTGCTCTGTTCTCTCTCTTTTTTTTTTTTATCCACTTTTTGGGTCACACTCAGCGATGCACAGGGGTTACTCCTGGCTCATGCACTCAGGAATTACCCCTGGCAGTGCCTGGGGGACCATATGGAATGCTGGGAATCGAACCCGGGTCGGCTGCGTGCAAGGCAAAAACCCTACCTACTGAGCTATCACTCCAGCCCCTCTTGCTCTGTTCTTGCCATAACTTTGTGATTTATACTCGTTTGTTTCTGCCCTGCTCCAAGGATGGGTCATGCAGATGTTCTGCCCCTAGTTTCCTGGTTTAAAATCAATAAAGATAGAAAATTAGGAAGTCAGGGTTCTTTGTACTCTTCCGTTTGTCCTTGAGAAGCCTGGTGGCCCCACTGCTGATTCTTGGCTAACCAGGCCAGTGGTGCAGTACAAGGGCCCAAATGCTGTGCTACTGGGGACAACCTCCCCACCCCCCCAACCTTAGACCTACACCCAGTGGTGCTGAGGCCTCTAGGGCTGTTCCCTGCCAAGGTGGTGGGGGGGACCATGTAGTGACGGTGATGAATGAACCAGGATGGGCACATGTGGGCTTGTGCCTTAACTGTTTTACTATCTCCTTACCCTTTGTCCTTACTCTTGTTGATTGTGTTTCTTGTTATTTCCTTTGGCTGCTATAATCTTACTCATTTGTTTGGGGCAAGATATTAGAGGGCAAGTAATGTCTTCATTGTCTTTGTGAATTTAGAAGTGGTTCATAGTAGCTCAGATCCATTATTTCATTAAGGTGTACGAAAAGCAGATTGAGTCAGTTGGTATCCAGTGTGCTCGGAGCTCAACCTCTGCAGTGTGTTGGGCAGTCAGTGTGGTGCCAGGGATCAAAACACGTGCGTAAGGCAAGCACCTTAGCTTCTGAACTCTCTCTGATGCTGGATTATAGAATTAATTTTTTCAATTACAAGGTGGAATGCCTTAATGGAAAGTTGTTTTAATTAATAAATTCCTATAGATAAGTAGAGAAGGGAGATGCCTGGTTTGTGTCCTTAATATTTCCTAATTTCCAAAATAATGGACTTTTTTAAAAATGTATTATTTTTATTTTTTTTGCTTTTTGGGTCACACCTGGCTCTGCACAGGGCACAGGGGTTACTCCTGGCTCTGCACTCAGGAGTTACTCCTGGCGGTGCTCAGGGGACCATATGGGATGCTGGAAATCGAACCCGGGTCGGCCGCTGTGCTATCTTTCCAGCCCCCTTGAGTTGTTTTTTAGGTAGCATAGTTACAAGCTTGATAAATTTTTTGGGGAGAAGGCTTTTGTGCCGCACCTTGTAGTGGGAAAGGCAAGTGCTCTACCCCGTCAGTGTACTATCTTTACAGCCCTATTTTTGTTGGGCCACTCCAGGGACCATATGTGATGCTAGGAATTACAACCAGGTCATTGGTGACATGGCTGCATGCTAAGCAAGTGCCTTGCCTCTTGCAGTTTCTCTCTGGCTTCTAAAATTTTAAAGTCACTTGAAATAGGTCGTCTCTTGAGTTTTTATTGCCATAGTTAGGTTCCTTGTTCTCACGTTATTTTTGATTTTGAAATTTTTCTTGAAAGTTTTGATTTTTAGATTCTGTTCTTGAGATTTTTAGATTCTGTTCTTGAAATTTTTAATTGGGTGACCAAAAATACTTCTCTCCAGGATCTTTTTTTTAAGGTTTTAATAACTGTCCTTGTGGTGAGTACTATTCCTACTGGACATACTTTACCCTTCCTTCCTAATAACTTCATTAATATGCAGTGAGTGTATATTACTGCAGGGTGTGTGTGTGTGTGTGTGTGTGTGTGTGTGTGGTGCTGGGAACACTGCTGCTGAGCCACATTCCAGCCTTATGCACCTGTTATTGTTGTTTTACGGTCACACCCAGTGGTGCTCAGTCTCTGTGCTCAAGGCTCATTCCTTGCAGGGCTTGGGGGGTCAGATGTAGTGCTGGGGGTTGAGCCTGGCTTGGCCTGTACACACAGGCTAGGCAAGTATCCTCCCAGCTGTACTATCTTTTGGTCCCAAGAAATTGACTATGTTTTGACTAAAGTGACTCGAGATTAAGCAGTTTATTCAGAGGAAAGAGACTTGGATGTAGAGGCCCAACAGTATAGTCACACCTCTGCCACTGAGTTTGCTTAAAGTGAGGACATAAAAGTGGTTATTTCTGGGGCCAGAGAGATAGCTCATGCTTTGAATCCAAGGGGCCCAGAAGCTGTATGATCACCAAGCACTGCTGGATAAGTTCCCCAAACCAAGCCCAGTCTCAAAAAAAAAAAAAGTGGTTTTCTGGGGCCGGAGCTATATATAGTGTAGTGGGTAGGGTGTTTGCCTTGCATGCGGCCAACCTGGGTTTGATTCCCAGCGTCCCATGTTGTCCCCTAAGCAGTGCCAGGAGTTTAATTTCTGAGTGTAGAACCAGGAGTAACTCCTGAGCATTACCAGCTGTGACCCCCTCTCCCCCCGTAGTTTTCTCTTTTTTATGTGTGTGTTGGGGGTGGGGGGCGGAGGGGGGAGATTTGGGCCACACCCAGTGGTGCTCAGGGCTTACTCCTGGCTCCACACTGAGGTATCCCTCTTGGCAGTGCTGGGGGACTATAGGGGTACTGAGGATCGAACACGATGATGTGCGAAGCGAGCACCCTATCCACTGTAGTATCTCTCTGGCCCCCAAAATGGTTATTTCTTAGCTCTTTGGGGGAACCATCATTGTTTCAGGCAGCTCCTAGGATCAGAACACCTATAAGTCTCTTGAATGCCCGGCCCTTCAGTGACAGGGCTGAACCAGAGAATGAGAGGGAGCATGAACCTTGCAGTCAGAGTGCTGCCCTCCTCTGAGGAAGCTTCACACAGAGTACAGTCCTCCGGCAGGGGAAGAACTGCAGCAGCTGAGATTGTTCGAGTCAGAGCCCACGGTTGTTAGCAGGGGCTGGTGCCATAGATCCCCTCTGCCTTGCACGAGCTCCAGTTCCGGGGCCCGGGAAGGAAAGCAGGTGTTCAGCGTAAATCATGTACTTTGCACGCGGAGGAAACTTGGGGTGCCACACTTAGCAGTATCTCTGGACTGGGACGCTAGGAGCCAATGCCCAGACCCGTTTTGAGGAGCAGTGTGCACGTGAGCCTTACTATGGATTGCAGTCTCTTGGATCGTTAGTATTTACTCTTGCATAAGGTAAAAAAAAAGAAATGGTACTCTGAAAAAAAAAAAGATACTTTGTCCCAAATCAGGTCAGGGTTAGTCTGTGGTTCTGGATATGAAGGTTGTGGTGTGTCATTAATATAGCTTTGTCTTTTTTTTCCCCCCAATTATTAGCCTCATTTTATTAATCTGGCATTCTTACTCTAAATAGTAAAGCAGTATTATCAAGTAAAGTTTACAGATTGCATTAAGATGCACTCTTAATAGGTTATAGTACTGTAAGGATTAAAAATTGTCTAACATCATGTAGCCACCATTATAATATCATACATAATAGTTCCACACTTTTCTTTTCCAGAACGGTTTTGACTACTTATTGACATACAGTGACAACCCCCAGACTGTGTTTCCTCGATACTGCGTCAGTTGGATGGTTTCCAGTGGTAAGTGGGTACTGGGTTTTTGTTTTTTTTTTTGTGCCACGCCTGGTGGATGTCAGGGGCTATGCCCAACTCTGTGCTTGGTTGTCCTTCTAGCTGTTTTTGGCGGGGGGGCAGCACATGGTTTGGGGCTGGCGGGAGTGGTCAGACCTGGTCCTTCTGTCTTCCTCTATGCGGTGCATGCACTTAGCCCACTGACTGTCTTTGAAAGGGTACTTGTATGTTGGGCCTGGGACCTGGATCAGACTTTTTGGGGTTGGGGGGGGCTACACCTGGCAATGGGCAGGGTTAACTCCTGGCTCTACACTCAGGAACCACACCTGATGTTGCTACGGGAACCACATGGGATGCCAGGAATCAATCCTGGCCCAGCTGAGTGCAAGACAAAGCGCCTTACCTGCCGCACTCTCTCTGTCCCCTGGGTCAGACTTCTTTTTCTCTACCTTCCCCTGTCCCCAGGTGTGGGGGATCTAACCCAGGGCTTCATGGGAAAGGCACGTGCTCTACACTGAGTTCTAGTCCTGGCCCCTCTTTAGCTTCTTAGTGGCAGACAGATTTTAGTACTGATGATCTGGGTAATACAGGAGTGAAAGTGTTTGCCTTGCATGTGGCCGATTCTGATTGTGTCTTCGGCACCGTAGGCTGCCCCCCTTTTCCCTCCCAGCCCAGCACCACTGGAAGCAACCCTGAGCACAACCCCAAGGAGCACTGCTGGGTGTGGCCCAGATCTTCCCTCAAGGGGAAAAGAAAAAAGATGAGTGCTTGTCTAACTGGCACCTCCTTAGGGAACACTGGGTAGATGTCAGAGCCTTCACCTCCGGTTTGGAGAACTCAGAATTCCAGAGTCTCAAACATAGCAAGTTTTAAGAATATTTAATTCTTCAAGGATGGACATTCGTGCATTTAGTATTTTTCTTTTTAGTTAGTGGTGGTGGAGGCCATAAGAAATGCGGATGTAGAAAATGTGGTTGTAGGGGCTGTAGAGGAACAGAGCAGGTAGGGCGCTTGCCTGGGTTTGATCCCCTGCATTTGCCCCAAGAGCTCTGCTGGATGTGGCCCAAAACCAAAAAGAAAACGTGGCACAGCCACCTAGCATGGGAACAGAGCACTCCCTCTATGACAGACTGTATTCACGGCTCTTACTACACCTTTCTCTCTTTTTTCTTTTTGGCCACACCCAGCAGTGTTCAGGAGTTACTCCCAGCTCTGCACTCAGGAATCACACTTGGCAGTGCTCAGGGGATCACATATGGTGCCAGGGATTGAACCTTGGTCAGCTCTGTGTAGTGCAAATGCCCTACCCGCTGTACCATCTCTCCAGCTCCCCTCTCCTCATTTTTTGCCTTGAAAAGTATCATTTGAGTTTTCTTTCAATGTAGGCAACTTCTCGCACTAGAGGAGAATGAACAAAGGATTAGTTGTTCCTATTTGGCATTTGTCTAAAGTTGGTAGATGCTTAAAAAGGCTGTAGCACTGTGTGATATTTAATCACCTGAAGGAGAGTCTTTGGGAATGTATGTGACCTGATCAAAGGGTCAGTGGTCATGGGTTATTTTCACTCTATACATTTAGGGACTCAGATGCCACTTCAAAAGTTGAAATCAGGCCTCTCTCTCTCCCTCCGTCCTCCTCTCCGTGTCCCCTCCCCCTTCCCTTCCCCCTCTCCCCTCATCTCCCCTCCTTTTAAGGCAACCATATGGGACACTGGGGATTGAACCTGGGTTGAGCACGTGCAAGGCAAGCACCCTATTCACTGTACTGTCTTTCTGGACCCTCTTTAAGGAACAACCTGTGCCCTTTCTCACAGATACCTGGCCTTTTAGTTTTGAGCCTCCTACTAGATTGTATGTCAGCCTGTGTAATTTTTCTCTCTCCCAATAGGTATGCCAGATTTCCTGGAGAAGCTGCATACAGCCACTTTAAAAGCCAAGAACATGGAGATCAAAGTGAAGGACTATATCTCTGCTAAGTCTCTAGAAATGGGTAGTGAAGCCAAGACCACCACCACCTCATCTGAGCGGAAGAACGAGGGTAGCTGTGGCCCTGCCCGGATTGAGTATGCTTGAAGGACTTGGGAGAAGGAGGACTGGGCTTCTAGCCCAACTTGTCGCTCTGCTACAGATCAGGGCGTTGGCTGTAACCATCCATGCAAGATAATTCAGTAGCTGGCTTCTGATTTTATTCAGAACCTTTATTGTTCTTGATCAAAACGGAGAGAAAGAGACATCCCTGGGGGCACTGTCAGAGTCTCAGGGCAGGCATTTTAAATTCAGTATTTTACTGAGCTAATCTGGAACAAGCCTTCTTCCTTGGTCCAGAAGGGGGCAGCTTGTATATGTGCTTCCTGAGTAGTTTTCTCTGCCAACATTCCAGTTCCTACCATCACATCTTCAGCAGTATTGGGTTTTCTTCAGTTTGGAAGGCCCAGTTGGAAAGTATGAAGGTCTGGTTGAGTCTTTCAGGAGGGGTCATGGAAAGCTCTTGGTAACGTTTCTGGTGTTGAATAGATATGAACTGTTGCTTGGCAGTGTAAGTGCCTTTTCTTTGCCTTGCTTCTCTTTAGGGACATCAGGTTTGTGTCAAGAAATGTCTCTCTCAGCCCCATTGACTTACCCAGTCCAAAGCAGCTTCCTCTGAATTGACTATTTCTTCTGTATGCATGCATCATATTCTTTTGGTTCATCTTCTAAAACATTAGTCCACATTTATCAAGAGCCTGGGGAAGTAAATACTTTCTTCTAGAAAGTGGCTTTCTGAAAAGAAAAAAATTAAAAATTGAAAAAAGAACGGGGCTGGAGAGATAGCACAGCGGGTAGGACGTTTGCCTTGCACGTGGCTGACCTGGGTTCGATTCCCAGCATCCTCTGAGCACCGCCAGGAGTTAACTCCTAAGTGCGGAGCCAGGAGTAACCCTTGTGCACTGCCAGGTGTGACCCAAAAAAGAAAAAAAAAATAGTGGCTTTCTTTGTCAGCAGTGTTACAATAAAAGGGTCAGTGGAGATCTTATTCAAAATACATTAATTTCAGTTCAAAAAAGTTTTTTTTTTTTCATTTTTTTTAATTTTTAGATAAATTTATGTCAAAAAGTAGTAATTGTGGATGTAAATGGGATTTCTTCAGAGTCTGCTTGGAAAACCAATTTTGATTCAGGCATTTTTCACACTTAAGGCTAGACTGGACGCCAAGGAGGCTGAGGCAGAGAATGGGGGTCGGCCTTCTCCCTGGAAGCTCTCCAAGGCTGTGTAAATGAAAACTCACAGTTCCACCCCACATGCTGCTGTAATGGGAATTCAGTTTGTGTCAGTTCCTCTGAGAAAGTTCTTTTCCTCTCCTCTGAGCTAAAATAAAAGCAAACTCGACTATTCAGTTGGACTCACATCCAGACGGTATGAATTGGCCTGGCTACTATTAGGAGAACAGGGATCACAATTTAAACTCCCCCCCCCCCCCCCCCCACACACACACACACTTTCTTAGAATTTAAACAGCTAGATTTGTCCTTTCTCTCTCTGCTTGCTACCTTTCTGTGTTACTGAAAAAGGGATCTAAACCTGAGACTAACTGAAGCCCGTTGACACTTTGTTGCCTGTCAAGTTTTGTGCCAAGAAAAACAACTGCCCGGCTTTCATGCTTTGCCTTCCCTGGTCAGTGGCAGAGCAGGGAGGCGCGTCGAGCCTATTTCCATTGGTCGTTGCTCTCCTCCCATTCCAGGACCTGAGAGAGGTCAGGGCAGAGTCCCGGGCTGCGTCTGACTTGGCACCTGTGGGTATTGGGCATGTGCGAGTGTGTGAGTCCGTAGGTGCTAAGAGACTGTGTGCTGCTCGGGATCTGATTTCTCGGCAACTGGACTTTACACTTGGGGCTCGGTCTGTTCATTTGCTTCTGTCATTGAATGATTTTCACTCCTGTGACATTTTTATCAAATGTGTGAATAAATAAAGATTGGTACAAAAGAGTTTTGTCATTGAGCACATGGTGGGTGGGAACATATGTGTTGGGCTTATCCTTCCTATCTACTCCTAGGTCTGATCTGAAGGTGGGTGTCACTGGGAGGTTGTGGAGCAGGGTTTGTGACATGCAACTTAACCTGTTTACATCCTGGAACCTTTCCAGGCGACCAGTCTAACAGCTTAAAACAGCTTAAATCTAACAGCTTAAATCTCTTGATCCACTAATCCATACTCTTAGCTTTTAAGGAAGGACCAGCATAGAAGAAACTGTTAAGAAACAATGTTAAGAGCATGGCTGAGAGTTTAATTTGGGAGGGGGGCAGGTCTGTGGGATGCCCAGGTTCTATCCTTATTAGTATTCATGGTCACCCAGAATTGCTGGGTTTGGCCCCCAAACCAGAATGCCCCTGGCTGGAAAGGAGGGGTGAAATTCTTGAGCTGAGATGCACACAGGATGGGAAGTAAGATCAGTCGCTCTTGCAGTTCTGCAAGAATTCAGATGTGTCCAAGGTGACTCTGTAATGAGATGCTGATGCCTCCTCTCCTGGGACAGACCCAGCTCTTCCCACTCATCACTTCTTTCCGTTCCTGCTCCCTGGGCTCAGCCAAGATACTCCTCCTCGAAGATCTGGTGTGACAAGACTTAGCTCACCCCCCACTGTACCCCTGCCCCCAACATCTTATAGACGAGTAAATTTTATCTGGTTAACTCAAATCACAAAGAAAGCGATGCAGCCAGTACGCAGATTTTTCTTTTCACTTAAGAAAATGGAAATTCAAGAGATGCAACTTAAAGAAGCCGAGCATATTGCCGAGGATGTCAGCCGCACGTATGAAGAGGTGGCTCGGAAGTTGGTCATCATTTTTTGGGGGGTGGGGGAAGTTACACCCATTGAAGCCCAGGGGTTATTCCTGGCACTGTGCTGAGGAATTACTCCTGGCGGTGCTTGGAGGGACCATATGGGATGTCGGGGATTGAACCTGGATCAGCTGTGAGCAAGGCAAACGCCTTATCCGCTGGACTATTGCTCCGGTCACATCTGGTCATCATTGAGAGTGACCTGGAGCATGTATAGGAGCAGGTCAAGATCTCAGAAGGCCAAGTTGGACAACTGGAAGAGCAGCTAAGAATCAGACCTTGATCCGACCTTGAAAGCTTTAGTGACTAGCAAGGGCAAGTACTCGGAGAAGGAAGACAAATACAAGGAATAGATCAAGACTTTCCAACAAGCTAAAAGAGGCTGAGACTCAGGCTGAGTTTACAGAGTCAGTAACTAAAGTGGAGAAAAAGCATTGATGAAGAAGACAATCTGCTTAGAAAATGAAGGACGCGGATTTTATTTTTTTAATTTTTCAGTTGAATATGAGATAGACCATTACAAAGCTGTTTGTAATTGGGTTTCAGTCATACAATATTGCTGAGGATGTCAGCCACACGTATGAAGAGGTGGCTCGGAAGCTGGTCATTTTTTTGTGGGCAATAGTCCAGCAGATAAGGTGTTTGCCTTGCTCACAGCACCCATCCCTCCACCAGTGTACATCTCCCGCCACCAATGTCCCTATTTCCCTACTACCATCCCCCAACACCCCACACCTCCCACCCCCAGTCTCCCTCTATGGGAGGCACTCTGCTCTCTTCTTTTCCTTCTATGCATTATGGTTTGCAATACAGGTGCTAAGAGGTCATGGTGTTTGTTCAGGGCATTTGGTATTTTTATCAGGACGGAGTAAGGCTGGAGTAGCTTTTCAAATGGGTGGCCACTTTGGGGTGTGAACGTGACTGCCAAGGCTTCCGGAAGTACAGGGTTGTGGGGGAAGATAGCCTGTCTCTGACCCTAAGAAAGCTTGGAAATTTCATTCACAAAATCCGCATACCCAAAGTTTTTAGCAGGTTATGTCTTGGTGAGGTCTGTCCTGGAACAGAGGAGTCAGGCCGGGGGTATGGCGGCAATTTTAGATTGTGGACGCAAGCAGCTGCTGGAGCCTCTGCATGGGCAGGCTGCAGGCTGACCCATCCCCCCTCCGGTTTACCCCAGTCTGTTTAGCCATGTTAACTGCATCTTTTGATCTCCTTTGAGATTTGTTTATGGGCCTCTGAAGCAAGGCCAGTTGTAGGGCTTACATGGCGGTGCTGGAGTTGGTTCGTGGGGGTGACTGTCTGCTTCCAGGACTATTGGGAAGTGGGGGGCGGTAGCCCATCCCATCTCCGAAAAAGCCTGGAGATTTCAGTCACAAAACCTGCATACCAGAATTTTCAGCAGATTATATCTTGGTGGAGTCAGGCTCGGGATATGGCAGTGATTTTGGATTGTGGGAGCAAGTGGCTCCCGGGAGCTCTGCTTGGGTGGGCACCAGGCCAACCCACCACCCTCCCATTAACCCCGGTCTGTTGAGCCATGTGTGGGTCCAAGGTTAACTGTGGCTTTTAGACACAGATTTTTGAACTCTGCAAAGACACCTCAAGAACTGTGGCTCCAAACAACCTGTTTCCTCTAAAGCTGCTATGCTAGATTCTTTGCCCAGGACTTATTTTGAAGTTTGGGCGGTAGACTTTTATCTGTTTTTGTTAAATTCTATGTGGTTTAAGCCCCCACCTCTCCCAGTTCCATCACCCTAATGTCAATAGTTTAATGGCGTTCTGAGTTTTGGAAGCTTTCCCCTTGCCCCTAGGTTTAGGATTTACACCAATACCACAGCACAATAGGAATGGATGGTCTAGTTTTCTTGGACGTTTTGAGCTGATATTAGAAATGTTTACATGACCCAGCAGTCTCACTTCCTGGTATTTCTTCTCAAGAACAAAAACTACTCAGAAGATGTGTTTTCCTAAGTTCATTGCAGTATTCACAGTAGCCAAAAATCTGGAAACACCCCAAATGCCCAAGAAAGGATGAGTATGTAAAGACCCTAGACAATGGAATACTACCAAGCTATAGGAAAGGTAAAGTTATGCAACTTGCCGCCACTTGGAGGGACCTAGAGAGTATCATGCTAAGTTAGAGGGAGAGGGACAGACAGTGATTACTGTCATACTCGGGGTATGAAGAAACAGTAAAATATGAATATCCAGAGACAACGGGAACAGCCTGAGAACGAATAATCAGTAGGAAACATGCCACATAAGGGGGCTAGGGTTCTAGGACAGGGAGGGGTCACCGTCTGTGGTGGAGGGAAATGTTCAGCTGGGAGGAGGAATTACTGTTCCCTTATGTGGGATATAAAAACGCATAGTGAGGGAACCACAAATTGTCCAAAGCAAGAACAGCATACCAAGGCAGCGGGATGGCGAATGGGGTGAGGATGGTGGGGGGGGGGGGGGGGAATCCCTGAAACTTGGTGGAAGGAAATTATGGGAAAATGGTGGCGGGCACTGTGGAGGGTTGTGGTGGTGGGATGTTGTATGTGTGAAACTATTGTCAGTGCTATAGAATTGTGTATCAAGGTGACTAAAACTTTAAAATACTAGCTACAAAGTAGCCAGTCATACCTATGGTAGGCAGATCTGGAAGTTATTTTCAAAATGAAAATACTCTTCCTAAAAGCTGAGAACTTTGATTTCCTATTGAGTAAACTTGAAGATGCTTTAACATACTGTAGCATGTGGGAGTGATCACCGTGAAAAATGTGTTCGTTCCTACAAACTTCACCATTCTGAAAATCCAGGTTGCCGAAAATCCAGGTTGCACATTGCCACAGCACACCTTGGCAGCTGCCAGGCAGGTGCTCATAGCAGACAATCAGTCCTGGTCGTACCAGGCATTTCCCCGGTGACCACCCATGGTGGGTTGGGCAGAAGGTTTTAACCACTGGTTTCTCAGGCTTCCTCGTCCCTGCCCTCTTCACTCAAGTCACCCACAATATAGGGCTTGAGGAGCTTACTTTGCTTGTGGCTGATTGATTTGATTCCCAGAAGCGCATATGATCCCCTGAGCAAAGAGCCAGGAGTAAACCCTGAGCACTGCCAAATATTCCACCAATGCCCTCCTGTGCTGAATTAAGGAAATCTTCAAAGGAAAGGACCGGACTGCTGCAAGCACCAGAATCCTGCCTGGGCCTCACAAGGCCCCTGACCGGTAGTTGCAGTGCAGTGGCAGCAGGGGGCAGGGTTGCACCACCAGCCCTTGTACCTTGGATGGATTTTACAGCTCATCAACCAGCAGTTCATTGTGGGTTTACTTGGGCACCACCACCCCCGCCTCCAAGCCTTGAGACTGGCACCGTGACCTATGAATAGACAAGCGCGGAAGTGGGTCAGACGACCACAGCCAGCGTGGGTGTCCAGTGGGCTGGAGGGGAGAAGAGGAGGGCAAGAAGTGGGAGATTCACATGCCCCAGCCAGGGCATGAGATGGCGAGGCGGAAAATAAAGGAAGGAGCTTTGGTTTGCTGCCACCTCTCTAGCCACCTTCCTGGCCTGTCCTTCCTGATCAATCCAGTTCCAGATCTAGGGCAGGCAGGGGCTTCTCCAGATGCAGCCCAGCAGGGACCCTGTGGTCTGACACTCTGACTCTCCTACACTAATGTCTGTACTGTCTGTTGCCATGCATATCTATCTGGTGCATTTCTGGGCATGTGTGCACGCACATTGGGAAGAGGGCCAGGATGGAACCCAGGGGTGTGTGTGTCAGGAGAGGGCTGGGATAGAACCCATTGTGTGCACATGTCTGTATGTGTGTGTGCATGTGCCTCAGGATGAAATGTGTGTGTGTGTGTGTGTGTGTGTGTTGGGATGGAACCCATGTACTCTACGTATCCTTGGCCTATTTGATGGCTCTCTGTGCCAAGGAACAGGGTGGGGATACTGAGGAAGAACCTTTTTTGGGCGCTCTCTCTCTCTCTCTCTCTCTCTCTCTCCCTCCCTCCCTCCCACCCCCTTCCTTCCTCCCTCCCTTCCTCCTTTTCAGCCCTCCCCTTCCTTCCCTCTCCCCTTCCCTGGTCAATAGAGACTGGAAGCATCCAGAATGGAAAAGCTTAGGTCTGAGCCCAGCAGAGCCAGCTCT